ATTAGCTAATGTGGTGCTTCAGGTTAAGAACAGTTTCAGGTTAAGAACGGACCTCCGGAACAAATTAAGTACTTAACCCGAGGTACCACTGTACTGAGATAAAGTGTGACTATGACACACACAAATGCATCATATTAGGTAAAATTGCATGCAAATATGTGTATGTTAGGAGAAAGTTGCAGCAAAAAGCTGATGAATTGTCAATAGGGCTTTTTTTATTTTTAGGATATGGATTTTTAAAGGATTTTTTAACTGATATGGAAATGAGGAGAACTGAACTTAAGACTGAAAGAACGAGAAACTGTTTCAGTGTATCTGAAGAAGTGTGCATGCACACAAAAGCTTATACCCAGAACAAACTTAGTTGGTCTCTAAGGTGCTACTGGACAATTTTTATTTTTTTTTATTTATTTCAAGAAACTGAAAGAAACCGAAGCCACTACATGGGGCTGGCTCCCTTAGATGGTGACTCAGAAACTAAAACTAATCCAGAATGCGGCTGCCAGACTGGTGACTGGGAACGGCTGTCGGCACCATATAACACTGCTCATAAGGAACTACACTGGCTCCCAGTATGTTTCTGAGCACAATTCAAAGTGTTAGTACTGACCTGTAAAGCCCTAAACAGCTTTGGCCCAGTATACCTGAAGGAGTGTCTCCATCCCCGTCATTCAGCCTGGACACTGAGGTCCTCCTCTGATGGCCTTCTGGCGGTTCCCTGACTGTGGGAAGTGAAGTTACAGAGAACCAGGTAGAGGCCTTCTCCGTAGTGGCACCCATCCTGTGGAACGCCCTCCTATCAGACGTCAAGGAGATAAAGAACTATACAACTTTTAGAAGACACCTGAAGGCATCCCTGTGCAGTCGTACCTCGGCTCCAGAACGCCTTGGGAGTTGAACGTTCCGGTTCCTGAACGATTGAAAACCGGAAGTGAGTGTTCCGGTTTTCGAATGTTGTTATGGAAGGTGAATGTCCGATGGGGCTTCCGCGGCTTCTGATTGGCTGCAGGAGCTTCCTGCAGCCAATCAGAAGCTGTGTTTTGGTTTTCAGACATTTCAGAAGTCCAACAGACTTCTGGAATGGATTATGTTCGACTTCTGAGATACGACTGTATAGGGAAGTTTTTAATGTATGATGTGTGGTTTCACAATTGGTTGGAAACTGCCCAGAGTGGCTGGGGCAACCCAGTTCTATGGGTGGGGTACAAATAATAAAATAATACTACTAATACTAATAATTACTACTACTACTACTACTACTACTACTACCACTACTGTTGGTAATGGGCAGGAGGGGTTCTGCATGCCAACCCTGTGAGAACAGGATGCTGGCCTAGAGAGACCTTTGGCCTGATCCAGCCATCAGATTATTTTCATGTTATTATGGGACAAGGTGCAGCCTGACTCCATGGAGTCATCTTGAAGTCTTTTTAGACAAAAGTTATTTTCTGTTCAAGGGTAATTATTATTATTTTAGGCACAAACCACTAGCTATTTTCACCATATCTGAGCCAGTCAGCACGTAAACAATTTTGTGGAGAAATGAGGGGATGTTGTTGAAAGGCCATAGCTAGCAGCATGGCTGTCAAGGAAGGAAAAAAAGGTACATTTAAACCCCCCTCCCCACCCAATCTATTGTTATTCCTTCTTGCCACTTCCTATTAACTGATGGTGACATCTTATCTGTGGCTTGAAGGGCAGGCTAGCAGATTACTTTGGAGCTGATGTAAGTGACACTCCAAGGATTGGCCCGCAGCCGGTTTTAGTAAGAGCAGTGACCACCCAAGCCCGGCAGTCTTTGCATGTCAACTCTGTGACATGCCTTCAAACCTCAGCTTAATCTTGAACTCTCCTGTTACGGCCTAATAGTTGTGATATTTCACTTTAAGTCACTCGGCGGTATGTCAAGGCTCAATCAGTTCCATTGCTCCATCGTTTCCTTTACTGTTGTCATCAATCATTTGCAAATCACTTTTAATTTTGCAAATTGCTCTTCTGCCATTTACTTGTTTGTCCTAAAATAACCGTAAAAAGGTAGACCACCACGATTCCCAGCTCCCAGGTGGGGCAAGCGTACGCATGTGTGTTTGAGACAGTGGGATGGAGTCTGTGACCTCCAGGTTTATAGTAGCATTGTGGTCTCAGCACATATAGTATTGTGGTCTCAGCACATCTGAACCGTTCCTCAATGGAGTCAGGCCTTCATTGCTGGTCTGATGTCTTCTACTGCACTGCCTGCTTCCTCATATTCAGCCCTTAGAAGCTGAGGAAAGGAGGCACCCATAATGGTTGCATTGAAAAGTCTGCTTCCCTCCCGCCCCCTCAAGAAGTTCTGGTTGCTACTGTGCTATTTCCCTAAACCAGGGGTTGGGACACCTTTTCCTCCTGAGGGACATATTCCCTTGTAGGGGTGGGTGGAGCCAGAAGGAAAAGTGGGAAGAATAATGCATGGAAATTTTACCTTTGTACAATAGGCTATATTCCAGAGACACAAAAGTTAGAGCTTACAAATAGAGTTTACACAAACACCTATTTTGACCCAGGCAGCCAAGAGGCATTACCAGGGTTCAATAATGCGTTCTAGCTAGGAGAGCGTAGAACAGAGACAGAGTTAGTGTGTGGCTTCAGGAGTGTCCAGATGAAAAGCCCATTTTCCAGGTCATTTTCCACTGTGGTTTTCCTCCCCTACCATAGAAAGAAAGACATATATTTAATAAGAAAAGCTGCTCCTCTTTATGTTGTGAAAGCTCGCCCAAACTGGTAAGACATTGGTTTCTTTTCCTTTATCTTTCTTGTTCATGTATATAGCATGGCACTGCAGTTCAAAGACACTTTGCTACCTGGAGAAAAGTCCAAAAGTATTATTCTCTTTGTGTCTGAGGCAACCCAGAGTGACTGGGGCAACCCAGCCAGATGGGTGGGGTATAAATAAAATGATGATGATGAGTAGTGGTAGTAGTAGTAGTAGTAATACTTTGGCCACCTCATGAGAAGAGAAGACTCCCTGGAAAAGATCCTGATGTTGGGAAAGACTGAGGGCACAAGGAGAAGGGGACGACAGAGGACGAGATGGTTGGACAGTGTTCTCGAAGCTACCAGCATGAGTTTGACCAAGCTGCAGGAGGCAGTGGAAGACAGGAGTGCCTGGCGTGCTCTGGTCCATGGGGTCACGAAGAGTCAGACACGACTAAATGACTAAACATTTAGTAGTAAACTGTGCTGAGGTTGTTGCTGTTGTTGTTTTACACACAAGCAGTATATAAATCTTTTGCAATAAACAAACAAACACAGTAGTAGCCGATTCATTCTCTTAGTGTGGAACGTGACTGAGCCAATGCAGGCAACATATTTTCACAAGAGAGGTGTATATCAGCATGCCTCTGGGGACCCCAAAGTTTGAGAAAAACGGAAAACCCTAAGGGTAACAAAACTCTTCAAAATAACCTAAGGAAGGCTGAGCATGCTCAGTGAGCACAGAATGCTAACTGTGGTGGGTGTAATGGCATGTCGCCCTTGACTGGACTTAATTGTCCCAGGATGCTTTACCTTTTACCTGGGAGGGGGTGTGACTGGCTTTCTGGAATCCTGAACCCAACATGATGGCAGCATGAGTACTAGTTGTTAGTGCCTAATTGTGCTACCTTTCTGGTTAAAAGAGAGGGAGAGACATTTCACCCCTTCAGATTTCCTAGAAGGAATCACTGATTGCCTATATGGACATCAAAGAAACGGAGCTGCTATTATTAATCTGTGTCATTTTCAAATGGTGTTCAGATATAGTTGCAAGAGGGCAATGCACATCATAATAATATAATGAGTGACGTAATGGCAGCAGGAGATCAGCTCCTACCTCCACTGCTTTTCAACCCTCCCATCTAATGCTATATTTAGTTGTTTTTCATAAGTGCGCCCAAAAGCGGTAACCTAAAGGGTTTGTGCGTCTGTTTTTTAAAAAATAAAATCACAGAGATAAGGCAATACTGATTTTTCCATGAAATCCAAGAACAATTTCTAGATGCTTACGGTTCTGATTTATTATTTCATTTGCATTCTGCTGGTGGAGCGTAACTTAATTACCTCTGTAAAAGCCTATTTGTGGCTTGTGAAGGAACCGGGGTTATGAAATTACGAGGGGGTGTTTGGGAAGTTTCAATGGCTGGAACGTTGCTCTTGAACAGTCTCTCATTTTTGACACTGTTTACCATCGTTTCAGGAGCACATCTAGGTACCGTGGGTGAGTTTCTAACTTAGAAGGGCAAAATTGGGAGGTACAAGAAGGAAAACTGAGCCTTGCCTGAGGTTGTGCATACTTAGGGCTCACAGATCACGGTACAAATGGAAGTGTGGAGCCAATTTACAGTTTTGGATGAATGCACAGAGTCCAGTAAACAGGGCTAGAGGGCATGATCCTGCCCTGCCCCTCTGTACATTCATAGCCACGAATTTGGCTCATGATCAGATTAGATTAGATAAATTTATTGTCATTGTCCGTATATACACAGTATACACAACAACGAAAATCAAACACCCACTCGAAGACCGGGTTCACATACACATTTGCACGTATCTCCAACACTCTCATCCTATTCAGACATAATCTATAAAAACATATCATACTCCAGAATGTAACATAACCTATTAAAAGCATAACATAACCTAAAAACCTGTCTCATTCCTTCCTACTCCCTGCTTGCTATTCCTTGCAACTGGCCCTGAGATCATTATTTAGTGCAATCAGAGCTCTTGGATAGAAACTATTCAGAAGGCGTGTGGTTCGTGTTTTCATTGTCCTATATCTTCTGCCCGAAGGCAACAGTTCAAAGAAGTTGTGAGCAGGATGGGTGGGATCTCTCAGGATATTGTGTGACTTCTTCAAAGTGCGAGACGTGAAGATCTCATCCAGGGTTGGTAGTTGGAGCCCAATAACATTCTGGGCAATTTTAATTATTCTCTGTAAAGCTTTTTATCCGTTTCAGAGCTGCTCCCATACCACGATAATATACTATATGTTAAGACACTCTCGATGGTACTGTGATAATAGGACAGAAGTAGGTGCTGAGATAGATTCAGTCCCCTGAGCATTCTCAGGAAATACAACCTCCCCTGCACCTTCCTCACAACCATATTAATATTTACAGTCCATGAGAGGTCCTCAGAGATGTAAGTGCCCAGGTATTTAAAACTACCAACCCTCTCCACCTCCTCGCCATTTATGTGCAATGGTAAAAATACGCTTTTCTTTCTCCTAAAGTCAATTATGAGTTCTTTGGTTTTTTGGTGTTAAGCATAAGATTGTTTTCTTTACACCATTGAATTAACCCCTGTACTTCTTTCCTATAAGCAGTCTCATCGTTCTCACTAATGAGCCCCACCACTGTTGTATCATCCGCAAATTTGATGATTGTGTTGGACTCATACAGTGGGGTGCAATCAAATGTGTACAGGGAATAGAGAAAGGGACTTAGCACACATCCCTGAGGGGCTCCTGTGCTTAATACTAGAGTAGAAGAATAGTAAGGGCCCATTCTCACTGTCTGCGGCCTATCAGTCAGGAAATTCCTTACCCACAGACAGATCTTCTGATGTATACCCAAATTGGTCATTTTAAGAAATAACCTGTCTGGCAGAATTGTATTGAAGGCAGAACTGTAGTCCACAAACAACAGCCTTGCGTAGGTTCCCTGTCGTTCTAGATGACTCAGTACAGTATGGACAGCGATGGAAATAGCATCATCAGTAGATCTATTTCTTCTGTATGCAAACTGGAACGGGTCTAGAGTGGATGGAAGACCAGCCTTAATATGATCTAGCACCAATCTCTCAAAACATTTCATAACGACAGATGTTAAGGCTATTGGTCTATAGTCATTGAGAGATACCACCACTGACTGCTTGGGGACTGGCACTATAATCGATGTCTTCAGGCAGGTAGGGACAGAACCCTGCAACAGGGATAGATTAAAAATGTCCGTAAACACACCAGCTAATTCTGCAGCGCAGTCCCTAATAGCCCGTCCCATGATTCCATCCGGTCCAGCTGCCTTCCTAATGTCAATGCTCCGAAAGGCACGTTGTACGTCACAGGTCTGTAATAAAAATGGTTGTCTATCAGTAGTAGTTTCTGATGATGTGCTGGTAGCCAATGCTGTAGTGACGGTAGTTCCAGTTCCCACCTCAAGGCGACTAAAAAATTGATTCAGTTGATCAGCCAGGTGCGCACTGCTGCTAGCCAGTTCGTTTTTAATATTTTGCCCTGTAATTTGTCGCAGGCCTTGCCATACTCGACGAGGGTCGGAGCTCTCAAAATGTTTTTCGATCCTCCGGCAGTACATAGCTTTGGCGTTCCTAATGCCCTTTTTCAATTTGGCTCTGGCTTCTCTATACTGTTGCGCATCACCAGAGTGAAAAGCAGCATTTCTTGCCTTTAACAGAAGATACACATCCCTGTTTAGCCAGGGCTTGTTGTTAGGGAACACCCGTATTTGTTTGGTGGTAGTGACAACATCAATGCAGCTTTTAACGTAGAACAGTACTGTTGAAGCGTATGTGTCCACATTATTCTCCACAAAGAGCGACCACTCGGTGCTCCGAAAGCAATCTTGAAGTTGCTCAGATGCACCTACTGGCCACACTCGTATCTCTCTAGTTGATGGTCTAATTCTGCGTACGAGAGGTCTATATGATGGTATCATAAGTAAAGATATGTGGTCTGACTGCCCCAAATTGGGCAAGGGCTTGGTCTTGTATCCATGCATGATGTTACTATATACTCGGTCCAGGGTATTTCCCCCCCTAGTGGGACAATCAACATACTGGTGGAACTTAGGGAGCACAGTTCTTAAATCGGCTCGGTTAAAATCACCAGCAACCACAAATGCTCCATCCGGGTGGGCCCGCTGCTGTCTGCTAATAGCAGTTAGCAGGTGGCCCATAGCTGTAGTAGTGTTTGCATCGGGAGGTATATACACCGCTGTTATTATAACAACATTAAACTCACGTGGCAAATAAAAAGGGCGGCACTTCACCACTAGGTACTCCAAGTCAGGAGAGCAATGCGTGTCCATTTGTTTGATGTCCGAGCTCCAGTTGTTATTTATATAAACGCAAATTCCTCCTCCTCTGCTCTTCCCGGATTCGGCGGTTCTATCCGCTCTAATTACTGAGCGTCCTTCTAGCTGCAGAAGTCCCTGTGGAAAGGAGGGATCCAGCCACGTCTCTAGAAGGACCATAACACAGCAGTCCCGGATACTTTTCTGCCGAGAGGTAATAAGTTCCAACTCCTCTACCTTGTTGGGTAAGGATCTCACATTTGATACAAGGAGACTTGGCAATGCAGGCTTGTGGGGATTTTTACCTAGCCTCACTCGTAGACCAGCCCTACAACCCCTCTTCTGCTTGCGCCCCCTCCGTTTTCTTTTCTTTCTGGCAAGGAGAGCAAGGGGAGTATCCCAAGAATGTGCAAAATATGGAGGCTCTCTGATAAGCTCAGCTGGAATGTTATAGGTTGAGACCTCCTGGCTGCAACCTTCTCCTCTGCCGATACTTAAGAGCTCTTGACGACTATAAATTACTTGTGCCTGAGTATTCACAGTCCCTAGCAGCAATAAGTTCACAAGTAAGAATAAAACACAAATCACTGAATACCGGTCTTCGGAGTGCCGAGCCGCTGCAAGTGCTTGCGCCGCCATTTTGGCCATTTTGGCCATCAGGGTTTACCTTTCATATCATCTGCCTACTGTAAGAATTTTGGGAATTATAGCTTTGCAGAGACCAACAAGTTAAACTTTCAAAGCAATTCTCTGAAGACTCTGCACGCTACTCTATTACAGCTTCATCCCCTGCCCCCCAAATTCTGGGGACTGCCATTGTTGAATGTGTCAAGAACTTTCTGTTAAGAGTTACCTTAACTCCACTTGATTGAAGTGCAGCTCTCAGTGTTTCCTGAGGAGCGGGAATGATTCTGAACCCACTTCAACCTTGTAGTGTGGTGAGATACTCTGAGTCCTGAGAGAGCAGACTTTATGTTCACCTTAGGGAGTCTCTGTGTAGCGAATGACCTGCCCCATGGTTATAATGCATGGAGCTGTTTTGGGAGTGTAGTTCCACCACGATGTTATGTAGCTCCACATGCCCTCTCAAGAGGCAATCAGTCTCAAGGCCTTCTCAAGGCAAGTCGGTTACTGCATCGAGATCAGACAAGCGCCTAGTGTTCTGATGCTTAGTCAGTTCCCATTTTTGTTTAAGAAAATTTCCCTGGAAGTGTGACACAGCCATTTTAATAATAATAATAATAATAATAATAATAATAATAATAATAATAGTTTTATTTATACCCCGAACTTCCTGGATTGAAAACTGGGCTCAGGGCGGCTAACAGCAAATATAAAACATTGATTAAAATGTGACTCAAAAACAGCATAAAACAGCATAAAATACAACATAAAATGCAGCATCAATTTCAATAAAATTAAAAAATTCAGGGGTCATTGTTTGGGTGGAGGGGAACCCCACTCAGTAGACATCAAATGATCACCTGGGCTAACTGGCCAAGTTGGTCCTACTAGGGCCAGCAAAGAGACTAGGGAAGAATTTAAATGCGGGGTCCCAGAAAGGGTTTCTTCATAGAAGAGGAAAGGGGGAAAGGGGATAGAGGATCAGGCTAATTCAAATTGAAGGCCAGGCGGTATAGCTCTGTCTTACAGGCCCTGCGGAAGGAGATCAAGTCCTGCAGGGCCCTAGTCTCGTGGGACAGAGCATTCCACCAGGTTGGAGCCATCATTGAAAAAGCCCTGGCCCTGGTGGAGGATAGTCTGGCTTCCTTAGAGCCCAAGACCTTCAAGCTATTATTATTCATGGACCTTAGGGTCCTCTGCGGGACATACCAGGAGAGGCGGTCCTGTAAGAAAAAAAAAGTCCTGTGGTTTTTTCCCCCTGGGGCTCCTCAAGGGTACACCTCCCCCCACCCCTCTCCAAATGTTAAAAGTGTGCGGCACGTACTGTAACAACTTCATGGTGGGAACCAGTACCTTTCTTTCTTAAAAATTGAAAAGCACTAATGATAAGTATATAATTGTTGGACTGGTTTTATGATCTTTGTGTACTGACTTTGCAATCTCTTGTATATTTTTAAATCGTATTTAATGGTAACCTGCTTGAGTATTCTTTTTTTGTGGTGAAGTGGACTGCAAATAAATGAATAAAATAGTCTAGCATGGGCACAGCGAATCAAATTGTAAGGTCATAACTTCACTGTAAATAAGTATCTGTGTTACGGCCAGGCATTTTTGGCACAGCAAATGTAGCATGTGCCCTGGCGCTGGCTCTCTCTGCTCCACACTTATAATAGTGCAAAGTAAGTGCAAAGTGTGTCCTACCATTAGTTATAGATACAGAAACAGACTCATATTCACACTTGAGAATTCTAAGCTAGGCTAAACCTCAGGTCTAATATAATATCAACAACAGAACAGGCAGTTGCTCTCTAAGTTTACGGTAAGTCCATTGACTCAAAATCTGCTGGGTTGTCCATCTCCTGTTCTATAAGAAATGCCTGTTTATTCAGCACTGAAAAGTTTAGGATCAGGACCTGTGCCATCCTCAGGGTCCTTTCCAATGCTACAATTCCACGATTCTGATATTCAGGACACCAGGGTTTGGCTTTTGTTGTTGCTCCATCGCATTGTCACCTCAATTACGATTATTTATTTATTACTTGTATGACCTGCTTTTCCTCCAAGGAGCTCCATGTGGTGTACATGGCCCCACCCTTCTCTGTTTTATCATCACGACAATCCTGCGGGGTAGGTTGGGCTGGGTGACCACGACTGGCCCACGTTGGTCCAGAGAGCTTTGTGGCTGAGTGGGGATTTGAAGCCAGGTCTCCCAAGGCCATAGTTTGACATGGTAACCACACTGGTTTTCACTTGCTGAGGTCAAGATTGCCCCAAAAGTGGGATTCTGTTGCTTCTTTCATTGGTTTGGGTGGTGTTGTTTGTTTGTTTGTCTGTCTGTGTTGTGTGTGTCACAGAAAGAGAGAGAGTGTGTAAGGACTGAGCTTTAGGAACCAGTAACTGCACCATGGTGTCAGAGGTGAACAACCAAGCCAGGAACCAGAGCTGAGAAACACACCCAACAAGCCAGGGAAATCATCAAGACTCAGGCAAGGTGTCCACCCAAACAGGAAGCCTTTTATAGCCCTCCCTGGCCAGGGAAGCCCACTAATTTCAGTGGGTTTTCATAATTAAATCTTAATCCAATGCCGTAAAGCTAACTCAGCAGCCTTCGTCTAAGTAAGCAACTATCCTTCAGCATAATCTACCACTCAGGCTGTTGTGCAGACATAATAATAAACTTATACTAGCTGAGCTGCTTGGAGGAAAAGGTGGGACACATACCCTACAACATTCCTCACATTAAACCAGGAACATTTCTCACTCACCCCCAACTGACCCTCCTCGGTCCCCCCTTTTTTTGCCTTCCCCTGAAGAGCATTTTCTATCAGAAGAAAGGCGAGTGCCGCCACCACTATGGCAGCGGGACACAGCATACACCATCCTGAGAAAACCCCTTAATCCCAATTTTATTTTATTTTATTCTTTCATAGATTTACAAAAAAAACAAAAAACCCCACACCAATAAATAAATTTCGGAAAGGGTCTATATTAGACGCAGACACACAAAGCATTTAAAAACCAACATCAGAAATCCTTGCGCTCTAACCTGTTCCCCCTTTCTTTCTACTCAGGGCAGCCCTGTCCTCGGCCTACCACCTCAGAGCCATCACGTCACATGGGGCTTGGCCTGAGCGGTGGTAGCCTCTCCTCCTCTTCCTCCTTACCCACTCTCCAGCAGCTGCTACAAGTTGCTCAAGGATGGAGGCTGGCAATGACAGCCATGGAGAGGCCATGGGATATTATCTCACAGCTGCTACTGCCACCACCACTCAGGACGACTTGCCGGCTCATCCTCCTTCTGGACTTCAGTGGCGGCAGCAGTGGCAGTGGAAATAGGGACATTCCGGGTTCAAATCCGAAGTGGGGATGGCTTGTGTAATTCTGGGAGTGTCCCTGAAAAAATATATAGAGGCACTTGGAGGGTATGGACACAGTTGTGATGAAGATGTAAGCAGATAGCTGCTGAGGGCAACGAGGCCTATGGCAGTGCTATGTCCAAAGCAGAAGCCAGATTTTCATGGATCCAGCCGCTATTGTCAAGTGTAGCTGCAACAGCAAAGTGATAATACATTACAACCTTATCCAAAGAGGGGGATTTATTAACAAGTGCATGTAGCAACCAAGAACACAAAAGGGAAATGGGAATGGGAAGGTGTGTTGGCAACTGTTGTCCTTTAACATCTCTGAAAACATAGATGTTAATAACCGAGGTGCATCCAGTGAATGATAGATGGGTAATACATGATTCGGAGTACAGTTAAAAAAGGATTCATCTTGCTTACATGCTGTATGTTGAATTAGTTAAGGACGCCATAGGAAAGAGCACGATGAGCCATTGTCCCTGCAAAATTATAATGACAGCCTTGCTAACTACTGTATATTTATTATGCGAGAAAGGAAATGTCTGGTAAAATTCAGCATAGGTTAATAACACCCATATAGTCCTTCTTTTCTACTGTCTTGAATAGACCTCCGACTGACTTTTACTGGATTATTAGCGTTAATTGCATCAATTGCAATATAATTGATTCTTAAATACTATGTAGAAACCTCGTACAATTATGGAAAAACAAAAGTCATCTAGACATCTCAGATTTAGAATTCCTGCACATTTAATTCCCGATAATCACCAGTCAGTTTGGATGTTAAGATTGCAGGGTCTCTTGTTTTCTTTCAGATAGGTTTTGACAGAATTGATAGTTTTGCAACATTTAACACATTGCACATGGAAATAATAATATTAAGGCTTCAATGCAGCTTGCGGAAAAAAATTGAAATAACTTTGTGTCTTAAATGTGAGGTGAACATCACCACTGAAGTATAGCCTAGAAAACACACACACACACACACAGAGAGAGAGAGAGAGAGAGAGAGAGATTCATATGCAGTAGGGAGTTAATATTTTTATCTTACTTGCAGGGTTGGCATAAGGATTGTTAAGATAATATGCACTTTTGTTGTTTAGTCGTGTCCGACTCTTTGTGACCCCATGGACCAGAGCACACCAGGCAATCCTGTCTTCCACTGCCTCCTGCAGTTTGGTCAGACTCATGTTTGTAGCTTCGAGAACACTGTCCAACCATCTCGTCCTCTGTCGTCCCCTTCTCCTTGTGCCCTCCATCTTTCCCAGCATCAGGGTCTTTTCCAGGGAGTCTTCTCTTCTCATGAGGTGGCCAAAGTATTGGAGCCTCAGCTTCACAATCTGTCCTTCCAGTGAGCACTCAGGGCTGATTTCCTTAAGAATGGATAGGTTTGATCTTCTTGCAGTCCATGGGACTCTCAAGAGTCTCCTCCAGCACCATAATTCAAAAGCATCAATTCTTCGGCGATCAGCCTTCGTTATGCACTACATGCACTACATATGCTAAAGTGCCAAGCTTGTTAGTGTAAGGCAGAAGTGATGAATTTATGGCCTTCCAGATGTTGGACTACAATTCCCATCATCCCTGACCATTAGCCCTACTGGTTGGGGCTGATGGGAGTTGTAGGCGACCATCTGCAGAGCCACAGGCTCCCAA